CTAATGTTAACTTTTACAGCTATCTATATGAGTAAGTAGCAAGTTAACTCTCTGTTTACCCTTATTTTAGCAGCTAACTAGCAACTTAGCTTACCRAGATGACGGTCCGTCTTCATCAGCCACAACATGCTTCCTTTTCAGGTGCTCGTGCATCGCAGTTCTGCTGCTGTGGAAGGCAAGTTCCACCTTGCAGATATTGCATTGAACACACTTCTCTGTCGTTTTCTTAAAATGATCCCACACTTTTGAGCTCCATTGTCGGGTAGCCATGATCCAAGTCTATCTGTGTGAACGCGTCCGCTCGCGGCCTACCCACTACTACGCATGCGTGTCAAGGACAGAAAGTCAGACGCGGAAGTGGAAGATGCCGCAACAGTTTGGAGAGAAAAACAAAATTAAAGTAAAAAAAAAAAAAAACCGACGCATCGACTATTAAATTAGTTGTCGACTATTTTAATAGTCAACATAATCGTGACTAGTCGACTAATCGTGGCAGCCCTACTTGCTAATACAGATTTGAACTCCTTTTGCCCTCAGAACTGCCATTTACCAAAGATGTTTGATTAGATCGAGATCTGGTGACTGTGCCAATTCTACTCTGACCTCTGACATTAACAAGGCGGGCATTTTTCGCCCACACCAMAGCCGCTCACTGGGTATTTTTCTTTTTTCCGGACCGTTCTTTATAAATACTCAAGATGGTTGTGAAAACCCCAGTAGGTCAGCAGTTTCTAAAATACTCAGACCAGCAGCCGTGCCACGTTCAAAGTCACTTAAATCCCTTTTCTTCCCCATTCTAATTCTAAGTTTGAACTTGAGCAACGTCTAAATGCCCAAATGAGTTTACTGCAATGTCATGTGGCTGATCAGCTGTTTGAGTTAACAAGCACTTAAACAGATATTCATAATAAAGTGTAAACTGAGAGTAACTCCAAGTGATATTCTGCCTTATTTCAATATTTATCTACAGGTCTTGCTCCTTGAAACACATCAGCTTATTTAGTTTAATTTGCTCAGAGTTACAACTCAAAATCTTATTCTGTWAAMATTTCCTGTGCAACAAAGATAACTGAGCTATGTTGTCTACAATAGATGCTTGACCTTGCAGAGATACYGTGAAGTCTGTGTGAATCTGTACGCTCTCTGCAGATACCACGTGGTGCTCATGCTGTGGGCCACTTGGGGGTGGGGTGTAGAGAGGCCCTCGTGGTTTTGTGTCAAGGTAGTGAAGGTGGGACCGGTTGGTTGTGTGCCAAAGCCAACACACACAGCGTCCAAATCTCTGTGTGACCATTCAAATGAGGCTGAATCAGCAGTGTGCTTGTCCAAGCCACAACAGCGTTTTACCACAGCTTCAGTTTAGGGGTGTGTGTGTGTGTGTGTGTGTGTGTACGCAGTCTGGAACAGGATGCCACAATCGCCTGTGACAAAATCACTGAAATAGCATTGATGGCACACAATAATAAGGGCACACAGCAGCACAGACACAGAGTAATGGCTGGAATAAAATGTTTCCACCAAATATTCGAGAAAGTTTTGTTAAACAAAATGGTGTGTGGCTCTGAGTAGAAAGCGGCTTGATAGTGTAATTCCTGAGTTATCCCATTAGCAGATAGGCTCCAGCTTCCTTGCTAATGGTCTTAGAAATGGAGTAATGACTGATCCCCCAGCTCTAAGTGGCAGAAGCCATTTAAAGGTTTCGCAGAGAACTGAACCTTTCACGAGATTGTAAATGGTGGGTCTTCAGTAGCTTTAGAGATTGTGTGATTCTGATAGTTTCTCACAACAAGACTAAGAAAATTTAGCTTTTTTCAGAAAATGTGCTTATCTGTAAAAAAACAAACAAACTCACAAACATCTCAGGGTTTGATACAAAGTTATCTGGTGTTTGGTGTCACTTTGATTTTCCAGGCCTTTTAATGCGAATCGTTTTGGTAGCTCGCTGCTATGTAACTTTATTATTGTTTTGAAATCCTGGAAGAAAACAATGATTTTTAGCCRTTTTTCATCTTGACAAACTGGTAGTTGCCCCCTTTCTCTCTCCAGGATTGTTTGAGAAACAGAAAAGAGCAGCACAAAGAAGGAGTAAAGGACTCCCTTTTTAGGACAACGTTCCAACAGCTGAGACAGGATATGACACGTTAAATCTCACTGTGGAATGTATGACAATGGTGGTACGTGTTTTTGTGCTTCTCGTGTGTGCCTCTGACCACAAATGTCTGTTTTTTTTCTTTTCCCCAGCCAAATGGAAAGAAATCACTCAGTGTTAGCTTCGCTGAAAGTAGCCACAGCTCCGTTCGAGTCTTTGAGGATAAAAGCAGTGTCATATATCCACACTTTATTTAGTCTCTGACCCACATACACAACCACTCATTCTTACACAGATGCAAACACACACTCGGGCTGGCGTTTGTTCTCACTCACTCARTACAGGAGCCTCTGTTCATTCAGAACAACTCGTTTGAGAGGACAGAGAGCAGATATGATGTAGAGTTTGGAGATGACGAGCCACGTTCATGTCATCCAGTTATTAGTCATAAATCATGTCAAACAGAGTTACATATACATTTCCTGTCATAAAAATATTGTTCTGTAGCTGTAAAGGCACCTTATATGTTAGGATCACATTCAGGCTGCCTAAGATCCCAGATGTTTAAGGCTGGTCTGAACAGATGAGGAAGACAGAGTTCAAGATGCTGATGTTAATATTCTTTGACACTTATGTTTTGAAGCAAATTAGAACAAATTGTAGAGACCACTCAGCTCACTGCWAAGCATTCTTTTGTATATTTAACCCACGTCAAATACCTGCTACTATCTGTGACCTACAGTATATTGGCAGTTTGTAAATGTTTTATAGGATCTCTGAGAAAAAGGAATCCGTTTATGATCTTAATTTGGACCGGACTGGCATTCAGTTTTTATCATGCCCCTGTAATTTAGGTTTAGGCCATCTGTGGCATCTGTTCAGGCTGCTTTTCCTCACAAAGGTCCAGAAGAATTTAAGGCTTAGATTCCAGGGAGTGAAGCCAGATAATGGGTTTGGTCAAATTTGCTGAAAAGTTGCCGTTATTGGTCAAAATTTGCAGAGAATTGTTGAGTTCATGTTAAAAGTTGCAATGACAACATGAAAAAAAWAATAATAATTTTTTAAACAGTATATTATTATTTTAATTTTTTTCTGGTCCAGTTTGGTAGCTTGTTTTTATTAAAATGATTATTTACAATATCATGCTAGAAAAGTCCAGTTTCTAAAATACAATTGCATCAGATAGGATTTTTGTAAAAACTCTGTGCCAGTTTCTAATATATGATCTTGTAAACCTTTCAGGACAAAGTTTACTTTATGCTTATTAGTGCTGACTTTCAGGCARTATGGAAGATATTTTATTACTTATTTGTAGAGTTTCACATATCATTTAGCATGCCTAACTTGAATTTCAAAAGGTTTTCTAAATAGGAAGTCGTCTTTATTAAAGTAGTCATACACCTGCGTCATTAGATCACACAATAATGATTTCTGCACACTGTGACAGCACAACATTACAGTTTTAGAGTTTGGTCTAACTCTTCCTAACACCCCCCTCTTTCCCTCTCTGGTCTCACATTCCTCTCCCCGCCTCACTTTCTCACTATTTCACAGCAAAAACAAACAAAAAAGGTGCTAACAAGCTTCACACACTGCTGCTGAAAACATGCTGTTATAACCTCTTGTCATGCATCTCACATTCTAATTTTAATCCTTCTTAACAGCAAGCAAAGAGAGGCACTAAAATGTGATGCTGGTGTTGCTCTCACAGCTGCTTGGCTGGTCCCAAACCCACTTTAATCTGGACTCGACTGTCTTGTTTTAATGAATTGGTAGCGAGCTTTTCTGCTTGTACTTTGTCCTTGCACTGTTCTGTTTTATCTGYACCTGCTTTTATCCCTCTTCTTATTGTTTATCCTCTTTGTGTCAGTTCAGGGTGCTGTTCGACCTCCTAAACATTAAAAAAAAATAGTTTTTTTCTTGTTTAAGCTCTGATTTGTATCTGTGTGTGTATTGGGGTGATTTCCTGTTTTGTGTTAAATCCCGGTGTTGGTTTATTTTCTTCCTGCTCTCTGGTGACCATCCTGTCCTGTCCTGTCCTGTCCTGTGCTCTGCTCTCGCATGTAGAATGGCAGTTTTTTGCCACCACGTTGGCCTTTACTTTAATAAAGTTTTGTTTAATTTTTGAACCCGGTGTTGGTTTATTTTCTTCCTGCTCTCTGGTGACCATCCTGTCCTGTCCTGTCCTGTCCTGTGCTCTGCTCTCAGAGTGTGAATGGAGCAGTGTGCGAGTACGGCCTCCCTGCTGGCCTCGGTGTGGGAGCAGGAGAGGCAGTTTGAGATGCTGAGCCGAGCTCTGGAGGAGGAGCGGAGGTCGTGTGCCGGCACCTTGCCCCGCCCCCTCCCCAACATGCAGGTAACGCCCAGCTAACCACGCCCCTTACCACCAGCAACACCACCACTACCCTCCYCATGCATATTTTTCCATCCAAGTCGGATCCTTAATCTGAGCAAACTCATCCAAAATCATCTTCATCATGGTCTTCTCATTGYTGGCTGGCTGGATGGCAGCAGACCATAATAGGGGTAAACATACCTCCTTTTAAACAGACTGGGCTTGAAATATCTGCATGTATTTGGCTCAAATAAAACTGAAGCACATTTCAGTAAAGCCTTCTTGAGGAGGTAATTTATACCCTTTCTTTTTGCAGCTGATCTCRTACTAGGGTTGGGCGATACGACAAAAAATGTTATGATAATAAGTACGGCTGGGTAAAAAAATCCATTTAATTGATCTTGTATATATTTCATTAAATTTGGGAAAATCGATTCATAGGGCATGAAATCGATTTATCACCATGGCATTTTGTGYGTGATGAAGCCGAAGTGTTTCTATGTTTTGTGTCACTCCTGGCTTGCTGTATTTTTACATCCGGTTGACGTTCAGTGCTAACGTTAGCTTCTGACAACAAGTTATCTGGAGTAAACCAAAGAAACTAAGGAATGACTAACATTACAGCCSACTCTCTGCAGATTTCTCGTACACGATGAGGAAAACAAAGCAGAATTCGAGCCAAAACTACTGTATGTAAACATCTGACTGAAACTATTCTCCCCGGCATGTAGAAATGTGTGAAAGATGAAGTTCTAATCATTTAGTTTAACAATATTATTATTTTTAAACTTTAAGAAATGTCTTGATGAAAGTTAGTAATGAAATGTTGTACTTGTATCATTTTTTCTTTTTTTTTGTTTTATTAAGTTTTATTGAACATACAGTAACATAAGGAACAGAAACATTACAAATATACAATTTTCATATGCTCAACCCTCTCCTGCAACCTTATTCCCATCACTTCTTATTCATCAAAAAAGATATTCTTAATTTCATTTCTTAAAACTGAATGCATCCAACAACACTGTTACAATCTTTTCTGATTTAAAACATATTAAACTTGAGACTGTTTAGTTTCAGGATTAAACTTTTTAATTTACAAGTTTGCCCTTACAGTGCCTGTGACATGCATATCCTTCAAATACAAAAAGTCAAAGAAAAAAGCTTTATATTTATGAAATGTGGCATAAAACAGACAAATTATTCATTTTGTCACATAACTGGCCTATTTTCTTTTTAATTTGGCTTAGACAAAACAAACAGGAAGTGGCATCAAAGAGGATCTCTTTAAGAAATCAAATTCTCTGGTCTTTGCTTATTAAAGCAATATTGTTTGAACTYTGACACTTCATTTATCTCTGATAGTGATTCAAAATCTAAAGAAACATCAGATTCTTCTCTACAATCTATCCATTGTAGTAATGCTCTGTTTACATTCAGACATTCCCCTTTGACATCACTTCCTGTTACTTGACATGTGAATATCTCAACACCTGTTCATCTCAGTGGCATGAAATGTTTTTTGTAATAAGTTATCAGTGTTATCTTTTCAAAAATGCATTCATATTTATTACAAAAATCTGACGTCACAGGAACTTTAAAACCTGTTTATGCTGAAGAGGAAAAGTGAATTTGTATTTTGCAACACAGTTGAACCATTTTCATTMTTTAACAACAATCAAAATCAAATGGTGATTAATCGATTCAGAACCTTATGAATCAAAATTGAATTGATTTAGAGAACTGGCCATGGTACCCAGCCCTAATTTTAAGTGTTCCTGCCTAAATCTATCCCACTACTAAATGAAAAATCCAGTGCTGTTTTGCCTCCAGAAAAAATCTCTAAACTCTCACCATTTTCCTCACTTCAAAAACATGAACACAGATCCCACTGCAGTTTTCTGTAAAAACAGGGAAGGAGAGAAGCCTGGTCTATCGCCCAACCCTAYGCCATGTCTTTACCCATCTTTTCACCTCATCCATGTACTCTGCTCCTCCTTAATAACCGTCCATATCTCGTTCAAACCCATCGTTTTCTTATCAGCGTAACCCTCCACTTCTCAGGCTTAAAAATGCAGCTCGTCGCGTTTGTCCTGACTTGTCTGTGAATGTTTGCATGCACAGCTAAGTCTTGCTTGATGTTTGGTTTGTTGTGTAAACAGTTTTTACCATTGGTTTACTATCAAAGTTATCAAACAGTACAGTTTCTGGATTATGTTTAAATGTGTGAGGACATCCCCGGTGGGGCCGGATCTGGTATTGAAAGTAAAACTTGAGTTAAGAGTCTCACCTTTTCTTTGAGTTTACGACACAGAGTGACTGACATGCAGTGGCTCGTGCTCACTCATTCTTTACCTTTGTCACTGTCATTAGTGTGGCTTAACAACGCAGCACACTTTTTTACCCTCAGGAAACTTTCCCAACACACGGATAATTTATTGTTTTCCTCTGACATTTGTCAGTTTTTCCAAATAGACACCATTTATCAAAAGGATACATCAATTCTAGGTAGCTCCAGTGACTAATACGAGTGCAGGGTTTGTGTTGCAGAGAGAGCAGGTCAGAAATGCATTGTGCTGCTTTGTGTGTGTGTGTTTACTCAGCTCAAAGGTTTCAGCATGCCTCTACCACTCTCCCAAAACAACACAGTCCAATCTGAGTCTGTCCTGACAGGTTCTTACAGGCTTACGTCTATGCTGCAGTTTTTTTTTTTTTCTATGCTCGTGGCCTAATCTGAGCTAAATAATCTGTGCTTTTTGCTTAACCTGCTTCAGTGATGTGGGCTGATTGTCTCTACACCGTTCATTTTAGTCTCCAGCTATCATCAGGTTATGTTTGTTGTCTTTGTCGAGTTAGTATTTAGCAAGTGCCACCAGGCTGCAGACATTTGGGGCAAGGATAGAGCGTCCCTTATGGCAGGAAATGGAAGAGCTCCATTAGAATTCTTGCAGGGGAAATGCTGAAGGTTTTGACTAAAGAGGGAGATTTTTTTTGTTCCTGTATGTTTCCTTGCTCATTTCGTCTGTGACCAATTCATCAAATTTCATTTACTGATTCCATCACAGCTCATTCATAAAAATGTTGGATGAATTCACGCAGTATGGGATTAAAAATGTTCTTTAGCTGCAGTAATTTGAACAAACTTAAGCTCTTGGCTTTCACTGACATTGATGTGTTTGCATCTTGAATTACATCAGCGATGCAAAACATGATAAAAGTTGTGTAAATGTGTCAAACAATTTTGGTAGACATTTACGGCTTTTGCTTTTGTTTCCTTTTTGCTCCTTGTTCAGGATGATTGCAAATGTTCGGTCTTGCAGTCATTGGTTCGGAACATTTGCCAAAGAATACGAATTATTTAATTTTTTTTAAACTAATGAAGTTGGAATCATGACGTGTGGTTTCCTGTCTCCTGACAGAACGGCCGTATTCCTTGTGATGCAGAAATAGAGAGGTTGACATTGAGTGAGGGTTACATCAACGGGACACATCACGTAAGAATCTTTGAGAGATAATTCACTTTGCATATTTTAAATCTGTAATTATAAGTCTGTAATATTCCCTTCCTCAGGTTTGAGGTTGTTTTGAGAACAAGAACAGTGTTTGTTTTACTTTTATGACACAGCAGTTAAATCATCTTATCTGTCCATGTGCCCAGCAACGTCCACACTGATCTGTAACCCATAATCATCTCAATTTGAAATGCAAGAGCTAGAATTGATTTTTAAGTCAATAATGTGTCTGCAGTTCAGGATGGAGCCTGGTCAGATGGTGCAGGAGACATATACGGTGGAGGAGGACCCTCATGAGCTGCCACCTGTTGTCTCAGTGGAGACCAGTGATGATGGGACCACACGGCGCACAGAAACCACGGTAAGCTTGAGCCAAATTGAGTTTAGTTGTTCTTTGTCTAGTTTTGATTTTTAATTTTTACAGAATCTTTCTATGCTGCATGTTTTCTTTTAATTGATTGTTTTCTTGTCTCTCGTTCTTTTTTCTATCTTCAGGTAAAAAAAGTTGTAAAGACCACCACCACTCGAACAGTCATCCCCTCTGTGTCAGACACGCTGTCCATAGACGGTGGAGGGTCACTTGTGGGGGGCTACACCTCTTCACCCATGGACCTGGGCTACAGGCAGGGCCCTGCAGGTGCAGTACCCATGGATTACCCTGCCCGCACCGTACCCCGCAACTACAACTACGCACCTCCGGGGGGATACGATGACTACCGTGCTGCACCTACATCTGATGCGTACACGAGCCTTAGCCGGGGCGCTCGTATGGATGATCGCTACAGGTAATGTTTTGAAACCTGCACTGCTAATCTTGGATTGATGCAGTGTTTCTTAAAGTGTGGGGCGTACCCCCTAAAGGTGGTCCGTGTCACGTTGGTAGGACGTGATCTCCCTTAATTTTATTCTATTTTTTTCAAACTGAACGTTSGTTTCAGTGGCCTAAAAGTTTGAAAAATGCTGTAATAAATGATTTCCTCTTCCTGTTCTCCCTCTCAACACTTCCCTCTCATCAGACCGGTCCATCCAGATGGCTACAGAACTCTGGATCCGAGCTACAGAGCCCCCAGTAGAAACCAGTTGGACCCTTATGCTGCTCAGCCACAGGTATAACAATCATTGCTTCGTTTGCTTGAAGGCATGTTTTTACAGTTTTTTTTTTTTTTGGCTGCCAATCATTCATGTTTAACCGACTTCGATTGTTTTCCTTATACTGTAATTGATATTGTTTGTCACAGTGGCTCATGTATTTTTGTCTCATGTGTAGGTTGGGCGTTCAGAGCTATCCGCCATTCCGAGGTTTGTTCCGGATTCGTACGGTCTGGAGGATGATCAACGCAGCATCGGCTTCGATGAGCCTGACTAYGGCATGGGAAACCCAGTGCACTACAGCACATTGCCTCTGAACCACCATGTCTACACTGGAGGAACCCCGCGCAGGGCTGGGTAAGCATGCTCCCCACATGTGTGTCAACCTTGTTTGAAGTTTGCAAAATAATCTCCACAGTCATTTTATGACTGAATTATATCTGTTTATCAACATCGGTATGCCTTTTCTCCCTTTTCAGGAGTTATGAAGCTCTTTTGGACGGTGCGTCAGACATGTTCTATTATAGCAGAGGGGCACCATTGGCTCAGGGGGAGAGGGGAAGCATGGCTTCTCTGGACGGCACCCTGAGGAAAGGACCCCCACCTGGTGGCTGGCGTGAGCCGGAGCTGCCAGAAGTCATCGCCATGCTCAACTACAGGCTGGACCCCGTCAGGAGCAACGCAGCTGCGTATCTGCAGCATCTCACCTTTAAGAATGACAAAGTAAGACTTTTTGTGTGTAAGCTTTTGTTTTCACATAAACGCTCAGATAGTTCAAGATGCTGGAAATAGTTGAGTTTGATTGCACCTGAGATGATCAGAATGTATTATATATTTAAAAAAAATAAATTCAGACTGATRGGACATTAAAAACCTGACCCAACATTTACATCTGTTCTGTTTTCAGGTGAAGTCTGATGTTCGTCGTCTAAAAGGCATTCCTGCTCTGGTGTCRATGCTCGACAACCCAAACAGAGAGGTCAGTTTATATTTTTTACATTTCTTTTAAGGCTTTTGGTTCACAGTCTGCTGCAGTAGTCATTTTTATGATTGGAAGCATTTAAATATTCTAGATTTTTGTTTTTAAGAAAAACAAGCCTGATTGTTAATATTTGGATTCTGGTCATTAAAAAAACTCCCAAYTCTTGTACAGATTAAATGCATCAGCATCATCATTGTGTCATTCTTTATAGATTTTAACGAGATCCTGATTGTTTTTTTTCATTGCTGTGCTGGTTTATGAGACACTGAGTGATGAGGAATGACTCATAAAGCTGTCGTGGGGTCTCTTTTGTAGGTCCACTTTGCAGCTTGTGGAGCACTAAAGAACATTTCTTATGGCAAAGAGGCAGACAATAAAATAGCCATTAAGAACTGTGATGGAGTTCCTGCCCTGATCCGGCTGCTGAGGAAGATCCACGACCAGGAGCTCACAGACATCATCACAGGTTGGATTAACGTGCAAACACACAAACCACTAATCTGATCTTCAGTCCTGTTTTGATGATTCAAAATATTCATATCAATTCAAAGATGGTCTTGCTTTAAACATAGTAAATATGACGGGCAGCTTTCTGCATTAAGTTTTAGTTTAATATTATTTTAATTTGTACCATTAACTTTCCATCCCTCACCTATGATGATGGGATTAGGTCCTGAATATTTAAATGAGATTACAGATTCAAGCAGCTAAAACAGGTTTAATTTTGACGGACGTCTGGGTTCAGTTTTGGAGAGCRTAACAAATCGCATCAAAGGGAATCAGCTGAGGCAGTTTGGCCACTAGTGTCTCTCTTAAGAGGGATTTTTTTGAGACCCCAGGGCAGACCCAGGACTAACAGGAGGGTCCACATATTCCTTCTGGCCAGAAATAGGAATGTCTGGGTTTCTGTCCCAGACTTTTAGCCTCCATGATCCAACCTTAGATAGACAAATGGAATGTGCGAGTTTATCTGCCTCGGAATAGATCAATGTGATAACAGAACGAGAAAAGGTGAAATTTAGAAATCTACACCTGAAGACAGCTCAACCACTCACCCAGGAATAGTATAATCTTTATTTCCACAAAACCCAACAGAGACTAAAATGCTGGTGCAAGATTGGAAAAACTGGTTTAAGGTTGTCTGCAGAGCTTTTCCAGCTTTTCTGTTTGACCAATTTAAACTTAAAATGAATTCTTCCACATAACAAAGACATAGTTTGGGCCGAGGTGTAAATATAGGATGTATTCTGTAAAGCACTTGTAAAATGTAGTCATTTAAATTGTTTTTTTTTCTCACAGTAAGAAAAGATGAACAGAAACAATGAAATTGTTCATATTTTAATTTACTGTTTTAAAGATATGCTGCAATGTTTTGCTGGTTTTTTTTTTTTTTTGGTCACATAAAATCTTTGAAGCTATCCATCTACCACATAATTTATGCGGTAATATTTGTAATTTTCATTGGTCTATTTTTAAAGGTATACTCAGTGTGGGTGGAACTAGCCTTTGTTCAATTTAAATGTTGAATCCTGTGGTTCTCCCAGGCACGCTGTGGAACCTGTCGTCCCACGATTCTGTAAAAATGGAGATCGTGGACCACGCGCTGCACGCCCTCTCCGACGAGGTCATGGTGCCCCACTCGGGCTGGGAGCAAGGCAGCAACGGGGCAGCTGGTGGCGAAGAAAACCTCAAGCCCAGACATCTTGAGTGGGAGGTGTCGCTCACTAATACGGCAGGCTGCCTGAGGTATGAAGCAAAAAAAAGGAGGAGGAAAGGAGGAGGCAGCAGATATGAGCTGCAAATGATGGATGTATACTGAGGAAAAACAAAGCAGAGGGTTGCCAGAAAGCAGATTGACAGAACAGGACGAGGGCAGAAGGAAGAGTCAACAATTTAACTGAGCTGTAGAGCCGGATGTGTGTAATTGAGTTAGAGATGGACGTAATGGTTGGAATACAAAGATTTAGTGTTTTCAATCAGAATAAACTTCGCTGCTTGAAAAGAAGGRCAACATTTCTCAGTAAAAATCGTTGTGACTCTTATTTATCTCCTGGTTTTGAGCAGTTTTCATTAAAACACTGGGATAAAAATCTAATTAATTATAAACTTTATTGACTACGTTCAATTTATTATAAATTTCAAACAAAAATAGGCACACAGAAGTAGTTTGTAATGTAATTTTAATGAGGATTTTTAAGTAATTTTAAAAAAGAAACCTCAAATAGTATTTGAATATTGAGGTTTTCCAGTAGTTTTCTTAAGTTTTCTTAAATTAACATTTGACGAAGGTATTTTCTGTAAATACTTGCTTTTCTAATGCTTTGCTAACTTTACACTGACACTGTTTGGTTGAAATATTAGGCTTTTATCTAAGAAAAGTTGAACATGAAATGAAGAGGAGATCTGGCACAGTAACTGTGATGAAGATTCAAGAAAAAAAAAGTTTAAAATGAAGGAGTGAACCGAACAGTAGGGCATTGACTCGTACAGTGTAAACAGTTTTTTTTTTCCTGGCTGGTTGGTCTGGTATCTATTCTGTTCAGCCACTCAGTTAATTAGTGTTCATCTRCTTGTGGGAAAGTTTATATAAATAATTTTATCTTGTATACATAGACGTATTGGTGTTTAGAGTTCTGCACATCGTCGGCGTGTATCAACAACTTGCCATCTTTCTGTTAATGAATTGTGTAACACTTGAAAAAAAAACTTTCATAGAGGTAAACAATTTTTCCTAACAGTTGAAACATGATTAATAGTGAAGAGATGTAATTTTGACTGTAGAAAAGATATATAGATATTTTCCAGTCCCTCCAGGAAGTTACTAATAACTTAAATTCAAAGATGGCAGCTAAAGCTAACTTCCTTAACTTTTATTGTACTGTATCAGATGATGATGATGCCTTTATTGTCATTGTACAGAGCACAAAAAAATTACATTTGAGAACACCCAAAAGATGCAATAAGAATTAATTTTTTGTCATTTTTAGGATACTGACCTTCAACATATTTATTTATTTATTTATTTATTTATTTATTTATTTATTTATGCATGCATGCATGCATGCATGCATGCATGCATGCATTGCACAGAGATTAATAATAAAGAACTTATCTTTAAATCCTGAAGCTTCTCTTCCCCCTGAAGGCACATTCCAGTAAATTGCTGTCTTGTAAATATTTTCTTGCTTTGACACCTTAGTGAACTTCCTTAGTGTCGCCCTCTCACCAGTTAAAGTAAACGTGTCCTCATATTGTCTGTATGGGYGTGTCCGTTCCTGGGAAAAACGAGCCAGGTACAAAAGGCCGGTGCTGAATGACCCGAGTTTCTCCTTTGCGTTGCTTAACTCGGTGTCGGATTTCCATCCAGTTCAGTTTTGTCTGAGAGTAAGAGTGAATCAGAGACRCAGAGGTGTAACTTGTTGTGGTCCAACTGTGCCGTCTTTGTAAACTCAGACATGACTGCAGTTTTATTCAAAGAGTAGGGCTGGTTGTTCAAACATTAYTTCCTGTAATGTTGTGTGTTGCAAAAACTGGGGTTGTCTTTTAAAAAATCTTAACTATGTAATTTATTTCTTAATCTGTTTGTGACACGATTTCTTCTTTTCTTTTTATAAAAAGAAATGTAAGTTCAGAGCGAAGTGAAGCCAGGAGGAAGATGAGGGAGTGCACAGGATTGGTGGACTCTGTCATGTACATTGTTCAGTCCCAGATTAACTGTAAGGATATGAACAATAAGGTATTTTAAGTTAATTTTCTAAGTGTTAAGTATAAATATTTAAAAAACAGCTTGTGATGTACTAAGTTTATATTCTTCGCCTGTTTTTCTTTCATGCCTGCAGCTGACGGAGAACTGCGTCTGTCTGCTGAGGAATTTGTCTTATCACTTGCATCGTGAAATACCCGGACATGAGCGCTACTTTGAGGCCACGCCCGTCAGTCATGGCCCCGCCTCCTCCAGCCAGAAGGGCGGCTGCTTCAGCTCTCGCAAGGGCAAAGGTCAGTGTTGCAGAGCGGGACGTGTAGCGTATTTGTTCATTCAGTTTCAGGAGCGTTCGGAGGGACATCGCTGACGGCATATTCTCACTCGACTGATACTTACACACACACACACACACATACACACACACACACACTTGTGCAAACAAAACCACTCTCTGCCACAGGAATTTCAACAATCTCCTCTCARAAGATGCCTATCCACTGTTAGCTGTCGTCAGTGTTTCACTTAGCGTATTTATATTTATTTTTCATGATGGATAATATCAAGAGTACTTAAAGATTTTAAAAATGTTCTGTAGAAGTTTGTTTTTAATAGTTTTATTTTTTTTTAGCTAGGACATAAAGCTGGGTAAAAGAATAACCTGAAACTTTGTTTGCCCAGAGAGCAGCAGCGTGTCCTTTGACAAATAAATCCTCCAGAGTTTTTACTATAAATCTTTCATTGACATTTACATTTTGAAGGCAGAGGTGCCTCATCGTAGCCAGGATATTTTTCTTTACTGGAAACTTTTTTTATTAGTGAAATGAAATATATGACCCATCACATCGAAACGAAGATTAAGTCTATAAGTTGTATGTGARGAAACAGGCAGACATAGTGTATTAAATAAAAATCTAGCAAAAATTACATTTTGTCAAAATATAACAAATGTGTTATCAATGTATCATTTGAATGAAATGTCTGAAATATTATCCTATATAATTTTTTTTGAAGCATTTTTTGAGCAGTAGCAACCAAAAGCCCGATTTTGAGGAAAAACGCCTTAAATTGTTGAGATTTTCTCTGTGAGCTATCAAAGCTTTTGTTTCTTTTCAGCTGGAAAATCTCAATATTCAAATACTATTTGAGGTTTCTTTTTTAAAATTACATAAAAATCCTCATTAAAATTACATAGAATTAGGATTTAGACCAAATATTTATGCATTATTGTAACCAACAAGACAAATTAAAAAATATCTCTGGATCTACTAATGATATCAGGATGATCTAAGGATGAAAATATAGATTTTAAAGCCAAGAATCTGAAAACATGATTAGGTCATTTTGACCAAATTTGACTKAATTTTCATTTCAATGTGATGGATCACATTTAATAACATCTCAGTACTTGCAAAATGCAAATGCCAGCATCTCCCTTGACTGCAACTGTTGGTGGCAAACCTTTTTCTCACAATTTTGAAACCCTGTGAGGTCCTAAAAGGGGACAACGTTGTGCTTTTTTTGATTTTTTTTCGACATTGTTTTATACGTCTCCCTCTCTCTTGTGCGTTGCTAATAACTTCATGGTATCAAAAGGTGATAATATGAAATAAAATAAGCAGGTGTTCAGTTCCCCTTGCTTTAATTTGTCTTTTTATATCTGCTATGTCACCTGTTTCTGTTTGGTGGCCGTGGTGTCATTGGGATCTAAGCAGATGGTCTCTGGCTGCTTTCCCTTTTTTTTCCTTCCTTTTTTTAACTTAAATGCTTGACCTTTCCCTTGTTCTGCGACTTTCTTTTCCCTCCTCATCCCATCTTTTTGTCTTCTCTCTTTTTTTTCCATTTTTCTCTCCACTGCCCGGCCCGGCTACAGATGAGTGGTTTTCCAAAGGTAAGCCTCTGTGTAACGTCACTTTGCTTCTCTCTGCCTGCTCTCGTCGTAGAGGAGCTGTAGTCAGTAGGCTGACCTAACATTGATGACGTGGAGTAATAAACTCTAACATGCACCTTTATCACTGTGAATGACTTTTATAATAATCTGTAAAGAACTTGCATTTTAGTAATTTTTTTGTGAGCGTGCATGTGTAGCTAAACTAGTTTAGGTGTAGTTATCGTGAATATGTCCCATTTTTAAACAGTGCATTTTTGTGACTTTGTTTTCTTTTAGGGCCAAGAGATGAGAGCGCAGCTAACGAACCAATGGATATTCCAAAGAGGACATCTCCTGCTTCAGGTAAACATCGATTCCRCTGAGAAACATCTTTATTTATCTTTTCTTTTCCATCAACAACTCCTGCMCTCATCTCTCCTGTAGGTTATGAGCTGCTGTTTCAGCCAGAAGTGGTCCACATCTACAAATCACTGCTGATGGAGTCCCAGAATCCCACCGTGCTGGAAGCTTCAGCCGGAGCTATTCAGAACCTGTGTGCTGGGCAGTGGACTGTAAGAACCAACTCTGTTTCATATAATAATAAGAATGTTTCCTCTAATGTTTCTATACAAGTAGAAAAAGTTTTCAATGTGGGTTTTATTGACTACATTTAACAAAAGGACCAGTGGTGGGCAGCACTAATATAAATATTAGTTGCACTAACTCAATTATTTAGGTCCCCTAATTCTAAAGCACTAACGCACTAAAAAATTTAGCAAAAGCTAATTCTAAAGCACTAATATAACCCAGTTGAGACATGGAACTTTCTTCAGAGTCAACATGAGACAATATTTACTGTGTGCAGAATGTTGTCACTTAGTTCCCTTGACGAGCCAAATGGGAGTCACCTGTAAAGGTCTATAAAGTACTTGGAAAAATAACTAAGTAAAAGTAAAATTACATGAACAGAAAATGACTTTGGTAAAAACAAATTTCACTGATGAGAAAACTACCGTACTCAAGTAAAAGTCATAAAACTGTTCACAAAAACTGGGAAAGTAAAAGTACTTTTACACACTCTAAGAAATGAACTGTTGAATTTACTGAACCAAACTGGCTCCACTAAACCAGGTTGAGTAAATTGAGTGATATATGTATATTATTTGCTCAGTTTACTCAGCTAGGCTGAGTTGACTTGACTTTGTTGAATAAATTCAACACTTCATTTTTTAGAGCAGAAACATCTTTCATGATGAGTTCAAACAGATTTAATTTTATAACAAATAACTAGGTGTTAAATCTTAAAGTAAAGAAGTAAAAGTATCATTTTTAGTTTTACAATGTAACGAAATAAAACAAAAGTAGCTATTTAAAAAAATAATTTGTAAAATTACAAATCCTCAAAAAACTACTTAAATACTGTAACGAAGTAAATGTATTTAGTTACTATAAACCTCTGGTCACCTGAAGGCCACATTTGGCCTGCAGGCCTTGAGTTTGACACGTGACCTTGTAGATACAGACATATGAGCAACATGTTTGACAGCTTTCACCCTCAACTGTGAACAATAATGATCACTAACRTTGATCCAAGATCCAACAAGTCCTCAGTTAGTGGTTTTACATTTAGTAAGTGCTAATCCACTAATGAATTTAAAATAATAGCTAATAGCTAGTAATAGCTAAAGCACTAAGCAGGAAATTAGTTCCCCTAATAGTGCTTTAGGGGAACCGTGCCCACCACTGAAAATAACTGAAGTTTGATGTTGAAGTCTTGAAGTTCAACTCCAGATTTAATGAAACTACTGTTTTGGGCTCAGTATGGACGCTACATTCGTACCATGATGCGCAAGGACAAGGGTCTGGCTGTAGTGGCCGAGCTTCTGGGCCACAGCAACGACCGAGTAATCCGAGCCATGTCTGGAGCTCTTCGCAACCTCGCCATAGATCCTGTCAACAGGGAACTACTAGGTGAGCCTTTAATTGAAAAAAAAAAAAGAACATTTAATTTAAAGTGTCGGGAATCATTGTGGTGTTTTGTGTCGGGACTTCATGTTTTAATGCTTGCTCCCTGTGTTGTCAGGTCAAAATGCAATACCTCCTCTTGTAGCCAACCTGCCTAGTAGTGGTCAGAATCAGCCGTCAAAACCGGTGTCGGAGGAGACCGTGGTKTCCATCCTGAGCACCCTCCACGAGGTGCTGGGCTCCAGTGTYGAATCAGCCAAAATCCTCAGGTCCAGTCAAGGAATCGAGAGACTAGTGCTCATCAATAAGGACGGGTAATCCAGATTAACAGAACTAAAGATTTTGGAGTTTAGTTTCTGCTTATGTTAAGTCTTTTACATTTTTTTAATTTTCTTTTTCTTTGGGGAAAACCAGTCGGCACTCTGACCGAGAAGTACGCGGAGCCGGTCTGATTCTGCAGAAAGTCTGGGGCTACAAAGAGCTCCGTCGCACTTTGGAGAARGACGGCTGGAAGAAGACCGACTTCATGATCAACCCGAATCCTTCTGGCAACAACACCAGAGYGAATGGAGAGGCCGAGGAAAGCTCTGTTCCACTCATAGACAAAGGTCTGGGAATGCTCTGTTTCAGTAACACGTTGGACTTTTTTTTCTATTAATATTTGGAACATATTTGGAGATGATCTGAGAAATGTATGTCCACTGTTTTTGTTTGTTGGATTCACAGGGGGCAGAAATGACGGAGAATCAATTCCAATGAACGATATGGGACCAGGCAAGTCTGAAAGTGCAACACGCATGTCTGATCAAATATAAGAAATGAAACGGATTGAAATGTATGGATTAGGGGTGTCCCGATACCAGTTTTTTCAAGACTGAGTACTAGTACGAGTACTTCAGTTTGGGTACTCRCCGATACCGATACCAAGTAGCGGGGTTAGGGTGGATTATCTGTTCAACTTGTTGAATATTAAACAGAATGAAAATGAAATGCAATTATCATGCAAAAATTGATGGGTAAATATTATGTTTGACAATAAAAAGGTAGTGCAAACTCTGGTTCACACTGCAGGCAAATCCCAAATCCGATTTTTTTGACCCATCTGACTCATATCTGATTTTTTTATGACAGTCTGAACGAGACAAATCCGATTTTTTTCTAATCCGACCCAGGCT